GTGTTTTAAAGAACTGTACTTTTATTAGTTTGAGCTAATTGGAATTAGAATTAGGTTAATAAAGGGGACATGCTTTAAAATAAATAGGTAATGATGTTTTATGAGCCTGTCAAAGTAGAAGCCAAAACAATTAGTTTTAGCTTAAATCATAGTTATGGTATGTACACATAAAATGTTCTTTTCTTTTTTTTAAGTAATTATTTTCTTCAGTAAATATTTTTGCTGCTTATGTGCTACCGCTTACCAGAATGATCACAAATTACAGCGAAGGGAGATATGAGATTCTGAATTTCATTTATAATATAAACTAGTCGTTCAAGTACTAGAGAAGAAATGAAGGAGAGATCAATATTTGATATGTTAAAAAGTGAAGGTATAGGATAAGAAATTGTGTGGGAGGAGGAAGGCATCCCCGAGGTAGAGACAAGAGGGAATGCAAAGTTTGCTTCCTGTATTCAGCAGTCTTTACTGATAGCTTACTGTGCTGGGTGCTGCTGTGAAAATTGAAAAGGCCAAGTCTTTGCCCTCCTGCAGCTTCCATTGTAGGAAAGGAAGGCCGCCTTCAGATAACATAATGCCGATAGTACCAGAACACCTCTCTCTTACTGATTAGGTTGAACATTCTTTTCTACTGCATTTTTACATTTTTAAAAGTAACAGCTGTATTAAGATATGATTCACATACCATGACATTCATTCTTTTGAGGTATACAAGTCAGAGGTTTTTGTTACATTAGCTGAGTCGTGCAGACATCACCAGTATCACAAAGATTTTAGCAGGGTTCTCTTTGAAGGTCTCTTTTCCAGATCTTTCTCTCAAGCTGACATCTTCTTTTAGTATCACATCCTGCTTGTTAGGCTCCACTAATTACCAGCTGATTGTCCTATTCTTTCTTTTTTTTTTTTTTAAGATTTTATTTATTTATTTGATGGAGATCACAAGTAGGCAGAGAGGCAGGCAGAGAGAGAGGGGGAAGCAGGCTCCCTGCTGAGCAGAGAGCCTGACGCAGGGCTCCATCCCAGGACCCTGAGATCACGACCTGAGCCAAAGGCAGAGGCTCAACCCACTGAGCCGCCCAAGTGCCCCTGTCCTATTATTTCTATACAGTACCCTAGCCTATACATTTCTCAACAGTCTGATCCAATTACATTCAGGCAGGGATGGTTTTTGAGGTCACCCTTTGAGGTTTGCTCTGACGGTGGCTGTTCTCCTCTTAGCTCTTTTCCTTGGTTCTTTTTGCTGATCTAGCTGGTTTATCATATAGCTTGCTGGTCTTCATTATCGGAGGAGTTATTATCGGGGTGCCTGGGCGGCTCAGTCGGTTAGGTGTCTGCCTTCAGTCAGGCCATGATCCCAGGGATCAAGCCCTGGGATCGAGCCCCACATTGGACTCCCTTCTCAGCGGGAAGCGTGCTTCTCCCTCTCTGCCAGCTACTCCTCCTGCTGTGCTCTCTCTCTCTCTCTCTCTCCCCCTCTCTCTGTTGCAAATAAATAAATAAAATCTTTTTTAAAAGGGGGCAGAGTTGTTATCTTTGAGAGCACCCTTAAACTTGAACCTGCTCATGCTCTGTTTCAAATGAATTGGGTTCCTTTGGGAAGAGCTTCAGAGCTCTCTTTTCTTAGAGTCTGCCTCCCTTGGGCAAACTCTCCTAGCTACTGTTCTGGGCACAGAGCTGAGCACTAGCTTCTGGCATGCTGCTTCTGGTGTAGAACTTCTGTCCCATGAACAATCTAGGTTGACCACTCTTGGAGCTCCAGTGTCGCCAGCCAGCCTCCTGCATGGTGGTTAAACTTCTGTTTTATAGCTGGAGGCTGTGTGGAGGAAGGCCACTGCTGTTCTCTGGGCCACCCTCACCAGGAATATAGCCTCCTCTGCTTGGAGTTGGAGGGGATGAGAAATGCTGGTGGCCTGCCTTTTTTGTGACATATGGGCTAAGCCTTATTAAGAGCTGAGAGGGAGCTCTGTTCTCTTGGCCACACCTACCTGGAGGGGAGTTTGTCGACTTGAGCCCGGGCAAGGTAGGAAATTGGTTATGGCTCTGATGCCAACAAACTGTACCAATACCAAGTTTTAGTAGATTTTCTTGAATAATGTTTCTTCCTTTGAATATATCCCTAGGACAGTTTCCAGAGACTTTCAGTGATTTTTTTGTTTGTTTTAAACTTTTAATTTTCATTCTAGTTAGCTAACATTGAGTATTCTATTAGTTTCAGGTGTTTGATACAGTGATTCAAGAATTCCATATATCACCTGGTCTTGTCATGCTTATCATAAGTGTCCTCTTTCATCCCCATCACCTATTTCCCCCATTCCCCCTACTCCACTCCTCTCTGGCAACCATTTGTCTTCTATAGTTAAGTCTGTTTCCTGGTTTGCCTCCCTCTCTCTTTTTCCCGCCTTTATTTTGTTTCTTAAATTCCACATAATAGTGAAATCACATGGTATTTTTCTTTCTCTGACTGACCTACTTTCTTTAGCATTATACTCTCTCGCTCCATCCGTGTTGTAGCAAATGGCAAGATTTCATTCTTTCTACTGCTGAGTAACATTCCGTTGTATATTCATACCACCTCTTCTTTATGCACTCACCAGTCCATGGACACTTGGGCCGCTTTCATAATTTGGCTATTGTAAATGATGCTGCTACAAACATGCGGGTGAGTGTATCCCTACGAAGTAGGTTTTTTTGTATTCCTTGGATAAATACCTAGTAGTGCGATTGGTGGGTCATAGGGTGCTTCTATTTTTCAGTGATTGTTTTTTAAAAATGCTTTTGTCAGCTTTGCTTATTTCACTGGACTTTGGGTTTGTGAAGCACTTTCCCTTCATCCTAGAAGTGGAACTCTCCAAACTACTTAATTCTAAATCTTCCTAAAGTTCAAAGATGTGTTCCCAGGAAGGAAACTATGATTCTGGGTAATTGCAATTTATTAGTTTTTTCTTTTTTGAGTAACAGTTTGGGTCAGACATGAAAACCAGAGCTACCAAAATCTGAGCAGTTCTTTGCACTATCTCAAGTATCATACTGAGGACTTTTGTACTCACTATATAGGTGAGGAACTAAAGATGTTATTTTCAGGGTTTTTTTTACCTAGTGGTTTTCTGCCTGCAGAAATCTGCAGTGTCTACATGGCTTGTTTACTTGATTGGATTTTGCAGTTCTTTGACTTTTCTGATATGTGGATGTTTCCTTCATGGGATAGTTGATATTTTTTGCATTCTTTCATAGCCTGTCATACAGCTTACAGACATTTAAGGTAATATCCATTCTTAATATATATATTTTAAAGTTTATTTATGTAATCTTTACACCCAACGTGAGGCTTGAACTCATGACTCTGAGATCAAGAGCTGCATGCTTTACTGACTGAGCCAGCCAGGTGCCCTGGTGATACTCATTTTAATTCTGAATTTTTAAATTGGCTTCATCTGTTATTAAATTACATTTTATAAGAAAAGTTTAATGACATCTGATTGTGCATTTCAGTCATATGGGGTTTCAAATACAAAATCCAAATCTTTGTACTTCATCTTCTTCATCTTTATACTCAGTGAGTTATCTTTTTTTTCTAATTGCAGCCCTTGATCTCTTTGTCAGTATACATAGTTCCATCAACCACTCTCTGCTCCTCTCTGTATTTACTTGTGTTTAGTCTTCTCGTGACCCCTGAAAGATGCTCTTCATTTCTCTTAATCTGCTTGCATTCCTGAATCGGAATCCATTGTACGGCAGAGTAATCATACTGAATCATTTCAGACGTCAATGGGAAGGGAGCATGTTGGTTTTCCTTGGGGTAACCATCTATTCTAGGTTCAGTGGTGGAAAGGGGAGATGGGATCATCTTGTATGGTATATTTCTATTCTAAGATATCATTTAGATAATTTCTTCAGCAGGAACATAGGTTTGACAGTTTCTTACAGAATGAGGTGGTAGATACAGTTGAACCAATTTACTCCCACTCTGTGGTTTATTAATGTAATAATTTCTTACCTTGGGGTATAACTCTACATAAGTTAAACTGAGAAAGGAATTGATAGCAGTCAGTTTTGTAGTAGTAACAGTATGCTGTTGGGAATTCCCTTTAATACAACATTCATTTGTGTGCTGTTGTAATGGGAGGTAACGTCTGCCTGTAATAGTGATCTGTCATGAAAATTTACTCCCATGATGTCTGGCTGCTTGATGAATTTCATATTACAAACACATATCAAATATGGGATTCAATGGTAGAAGATTCTTGTATATTTCTCTAATACATTTGGAAGGACACACAAGGAACTGGTCATTGGTTGCCGCTAGGGAAGAGAATCCCCTAGTTTGGAGGACTGAGGTGGAAATACATACTTTATTCCATTTGAATTTTGTAATGTCATTAAGTGTTACTGAAACAATAGTAAAGCACTAAGAAGTAAGTAAAACAAAAACAAATAATAGGGAAAATAAATGGATAAGACATTCTGTAGATATAATTTCTGCTAAATATAATCTGGTGGCCCATTAGGGTTTCTTTTTATGTTGGTAAGCTCTTTGTGTTGATTAATTGGCAAGTTTGATTAGAACTCTCTTCTAGGTGGTAATTATATTCTTATATTTTATCATCATTTTATTCCTTCTGATATCAGATGATTTAGAAGAGTTGCCAGGTTTCTCTTTGATATTGGATCTATTCTTGATTTGGAATGCCAGTTAGTAGAAGTGTTGCTTCAAGAATAAAAAGACCATGATGAGTATTCTTCACTTATGATAACTAAGACAGGATTTTTTGAGGTACTTTGATTTATATAGATGGTGCAGAATTTACTTGAATCTTTTTCCAAATTCACATTTCTAAAGTCTAATTGATTAAATTCATTCTTGGTGTTTCATTTAAAAGAATGCAGCTTTAGCAAATCTCTTTACATAAAGAAGAGGGATTATGTTCAAGTTTTAGGTTATTGTTTTATCACTGTATTTTAAACATTTACAGGTTTTCTTTTTTTTTTTTCCTGCCCTGTAGCCGGCCTCAGAAAGTATGTTTATGTCCATTTCTACCATTGCATCCTCTGCACATCTCTACTCATTTATACATAATTCAGCATCCAGCAGAGGTAAGATTTGTAAAATATATAATTTCAAATAGAATATTAGTATGTAAGAGGAAACACACTGATGAACATATTTATACCTTCCAGCTCTTTAACATTTCTGAAAATAAATTGATGATAAATGCTTTGTCTTTGAGAAAAAGTTTCTTTTATATATTATAGTGTCATGTCATATGCTTTAGAGACCTAAAAACTGTTATCTCATAAAACCGTATTATTTCATAAAAATGGTAATTGAATAGTATAGAAATTTAGAACACCAATGATTCTGTGTGAAGAAAAAATGAAATTTTGTGAGTGAAGAACTAAGAAAATCATTGCTTTTTAAATTTTAATCATAGCTTGTATTTCTTAATGTTTCTTGTTAAAGTAGAAATGCCAGTATTTTAGTATTATGAAATGAATGTATAAAATAAAATTTTATTCCTGTAATGAGTAGAGCAGATATGTATATATTAAGTATATATGTTGTAGATGAGGATTTTTTAATTAGTACTTTCCTGTATAGGTGAAAATTGTTCATGTACTGGTGTGTATGTATGTTTGTAATTCATGATTAACTGCAGTAATGAAAGAAGGGAGGGAAGGATTTCATTGAGAACCATAAATGATAATCATTATAAAACTACTTGATGCATGGTACAGAATGGGTTTAGATTAACTGAAGTTAAAATTCTTCTAGCATTTGGGAACTCAGGATATAATCTACTGAGTCAGACTTTTGGAGAAGGAATAATTTTTTTCTTAAATTTCTGAAGCTTTTGCCACTTTGAAATCCTTAATAAGGATTTGAAAGGTATCAGTCTGTCTTCTTCCTTTTCCAAATGATGAAACACTTATTCTTTTACTGCAAATTGTCGAATATTCCATTTGTTGGGCAGCGTTTGTTTTTTTTTTTTTTTTTTTTTTTTTTTTTTAGTGTTACATCATGCTTTTGTCAGGATTTGAACAATTGAACAATTTGGTCACTAGCATTATTTTGCTGTATTTAAATTTGCAACGCTCTGCAGCTCAGAGTTGTAAAAAATGATAGTTTATGGACCATAATAGTTTTGGATAAAACTCGACTTTTGATGATGATGAATGTTTTTTTCATTTTGCAGTATATGTGTGGCAACATCTTTGTGAATATGTCTCCTCAAGCAAGGGAAACAAAAGCAAAAAAATAGTGTAATAGTGGTTATTATTTTGTGGTTCCAGACATAAGATAGTATTTAAAATACAGGTTTTTTAAAAATTTGTGGCAATTTTAATGTTTTCAAGGGCCTCTACATTGGTAGTAGAGAAGTAAAACTGTCATTATTTGAGGTGACATGGAATTACATAAAACCTTAAATGCCTCTACCAAAAACTATAAGAACCAATAATAGAATTCAGTAAAGTTGCATGATACAAAAATAAAATACAGAAATCTGTTGTGTTTTTATACCCTAACAATGAAGTAGCAGAGGAGAAATTAAGAAAACAATCTCAGTTACAGTTACACCATAAAGAGTAAAATACCTAGTAACAAATTTAACCAAAGAAGTGAAAGACCTCTAGTATGAAAACTATAAGACATTGATGAAAGAAATTGATGGTACAAATAGAAAGATATACCATGCTCATGGATTGGAAGATTTAATGTTATTAAAATATGTATATTTGCTCAAGGCGTTCTACCAATTCAGTGCAATACCCTTTAAAATACCACTAGCATTTTTCACAGAACTAGAGCAAGTAATCCCAATATTTGTATGTTACCACCAAAGACACTGAATAGATAAAGCACTCTTGAGAAAGAAGAGCAAAAATAGAGGTATCACAATCTCACATTTCAAGATATACTTCAAAGCTGTAGTAATCAAAACAGTATTATGGTACTGGCACAGGAGTAGACATATAGATCAATAGAACAGGATAGAGAGCCCAGAAGGAAACCTATACTTATATTAATTAATTAATTTACAAACAAAGGAGGCAAGAATATACAACCGGGAAAAGAAGGTCTCTTCTGTAAATGGTGCTGGGAAAACTGGTCACCTACATTCAGAATAGTGGAATTGGACCACTTGTTTATACTATACACAGAATAAACCCAAAATGGATTAAAGTCCTAAAAGTGATATCTGAAACCACAAAGCTCCTAAAAGAACAGATAGGCAGTAAGGTCTTGGGCACTGGCCTTAGCAACGTCTTTATGAATATGTCTCCTCAAGCAAGGGAAACAAAAGCAAAAAATAGTGTAATAGTGTTGTTAGTACACCAAAATTAAAGACTTCTGTACAGTGAGAGAAACCATCAATAAAATGAAAATGCAATCTATGGAATAGGAGAAGGTATTTGTAAATGATAGATCTTATTGTTGGTTAATAAGGTTAATATGCAAAATATATAAGGAACTTACACAAGTCAACATCAAAAAACAAATAATCCAGTTGAAAATGGTCATAAGACCTGAAAGAAGACATACAGATGACCAACAGACATGAAAAGATGCTCAATGTCAGTTATCATCAGGAAAATGCAAATCAAAGCCACAATGAAATATCTCCTCCTCAAGCCTGTCAGAATGACAAGTATCAAGAAGACAAGAAATAGCAAGTGGAGAAGATGGCACCCTTGTGTACTTTTGGTGGGAATGTAAACTGGTATAACCACTATGGAAAATTATGGAGTGTCCTCAAAAAATTAAAAATAGAAATACCATTTCACCATTAATTCCATCAGAGGGTATTTACCCACAGAAAATGGAAACACTAATTTGAAAAGATACATGCATCACTATGTTTATTGCAGCATTATTTACAATAGCCAAGATATGGAAGCAGCCTAAGTGTCCATCGATAGATGAATGGATAAAGAAGAGGTGGTACACACACACACACACACACACACACACACACACGAGTATTACTCAGCCATAAAAAGAATGAGATCTTGTCATTTGTACAACATGGGTGGACCTGGAGAGTGTATTATGCTAAGTGTAATAAGGCAGAGAGAGAAGGACAAATACCATATGATTTCACTTATACGTTGAATCTGAAAAACAAAACAAATGAGCAAATAAAAAAAAAAAAAACGGAAACATACTTATAAATACAGAGAACAAACTGGTGGTTGCCAGAGGAGAAGGTGGTAGGGGGATGGGTGAAACAGCTAAAGAGGGTTAGGAGGTACACATTTCCAGTTGTAAAGTAAATAAGTCATGGGGATAAAAAGTACAGCATTGGGAATATAGTTATTAATATTGTAATAATGTGTGATGACAGAAGGTTACATACTTACTGTGGTGAGCATTGTGTAATATATAGAATTGTCAAATCATTATGTTCTTTACCTGAAACTAATAAAATATTGTATGTCAGCTATACATAATAAATATTATGTATAAATATAATATAATAATAAAATTCAATAATTAAGATTAAATTAATAATAATTTTATTTATTAAATTCAGTAATAAAAATTAGTAAAAGGTAAAAAATGTAGGTGTTTTCGTTGATTTTTGGCAGTTTTAATGCTTTCAGATATCTTATTCATTCGTTTTTCCTCTCCTTTGCTTCCTTTCTTTCTTCCTTTTTTTCATGATTAGTTCACAGTGTAGGTGATCCCTCTATAACTGTGTGTGCTACAGATGTCTTTTATACAAGTATCTACAACTATATCCATACTGTTTTTCCTTGTCATCCAAGGAGCTTTCCAGTTTTAATTTAACTCAATAATACTGGCCTTCCTTGTGCTTAATCTCAGCACATTTTTTTTTTTTAAATGAGCATTCTAATTTGACCACTCCCCCTAAAAAGTGATAGAAATCCATTTAGATAGGCTTTAGGAGGAGGCTTTGGGAAAAGAAGATTTGATGGAATAGATGATAAGGAGGTGATATGATGGAGCATTTCAAAGAGTACTTATATGTATGGAGAAAAGTAAGAATAAAATGTAATGGTTATCTCAAAAGTGTGAAAAATATCTATAAGGAAGAAATGTTCTGTGACACGATGTGGCCTTCATTTGTGTATAGCGTTTATGTAGCCATAGTGATGTAAGCACTATTTATTGACTTAACTAAAAATATGAGAATATGTGATGTTAGGGCATGATGGAAGAAAGGTAAATCCCTATTTATTATAAGAGGTTGTGCTTATACAGTGCCTTTAGTTAAGAATAAGGGCTCAGGAGCCAGACTGCTTGAATGTAAAGCCTTAATAGCTCTGTAAACTGTAACCCTAGGCAAGTTAATTAACTTCTCTGTGCTTTAGTTTCACCATTAGGAAAATGGACATGATAAAAGATATACTTCTTTACTGGTTTATTGCGAGCGGTAAATGAATCAGTTTGTCTATCCATCTCTCTATAATGTACTTAGAATTATGTATATTAGAGTCAGCTATGATGATGATGATAATAAATGGTGGTTTGTAAATAATACTTAAAATTGATAGTAAGACACACATGTTTTATACAAATATGGAGATAACTACTAGAAGAAATAGTTGAGAGAGTTAAAGTGATTGCCTTTGGGAAGTGGTAGTGGGGAGTATATCTGGGAACATTATAAATCTTTTGACACTGCACTATTTAATTCTATATATATATGTATGCTGGTAGAAGTTTGGAGCGTGGTTTAAGTGGTATGTGTCATAGTCTCATAGTGACAGTAAGGAGGGAAGAAAATAATAGGACATATTGGAGACTGTCCCAGACCTCTCCTCTTACCTCTCATCCCATTCTCCATAGGAGCTGCTCCACATCGGTTTCATTCTCCTCACAGCTCTAGCTTGCTACATGTTCTTTTTAGTTGCAAATCCCAACAAATCTGACTCTCCTCTTTTGTTTTCCAAGTTTTAGGTAGATTAATTTAACTACTCTTGGCATCTCTAGATTTACTTTTTCATATTATTTTAATGAGCACTTCAGAAACCTAGGACAAAAAAGATTAATGCAAAAATGTCCCTGAAGGATGTATTTGTGTGTGTGTTGAATACTGTTACTACCATAATTTTTGTTTCTGTTATAAACATAAGTAATGTAATTATAAACTTATTTTGGGTTACTTCAGTAAATTCGTATGAAACATCACCCTTTTGTGTGTTAATATGCTTTGTGTATTAATGTGCCATAATGGTCACATTATTTGCTGTGAGGATATATATAAACAGTGTTACATAAACTGATAAAGGTAACAGGGGTCTGTCTGTATGTAGGTGAACTGCTCAGAGAGGGCTCCTGGCACTTATTACATCAGGCTTAAAATTTCCAGTCGGGCCAGTGGAGACGAGCCAGACAGTGACTGATCACTATAGACTAAAACAACCAAGAAGAGGCAGGCTCAGGCAAACCAGCACATCAGCTGGGTACACTAGGATAAAGGATAGAATTCTTGGGACAGGAAAGGTGGTTTTTAGTGTTGAAAGCTAGGATGTTGGAAAAAAACACTGATGATAGTTAATGGAATTTACAGGAATGGTCACCAGATTTCTCTGCTCTAAGGTTATTTTATTTTCCCCCTTTCTATAACCTTTATTGTTTGGACATAGCCTGTAAATCCAACCCACATTAAGGTGAGTAGGAGACATTAGGTTCCACCTCCTGGAGTAGGGAGTACTTATGTTTACTACTTGGAATTCTTCTGCAAGGAATTTTATCTCTTCTCTCCTTTTTATTTTTTTATTTTGGGTCATAATCCAGGTACTTTGCTATTTACTTTGTTATTCAAATTGTACCATTTTGGTCATTGGGAACTCTTTAAGATTGGCTTCTGTGTCAGTTTGATGGGCCCCATGACTTTTTCTTTTTCAGCACTTCCTTCTTTTCTGGACATAAAGATGTAGGCAGTTATCTTCAAGTTGATGTACTATAAAATGTAATTATTACTGAAATATAATTTGTCAGAATAAATGATTCAGTTTAGTTAAATGCAGATTTCATTTTTCATAATCTTAACTATTATTTAAATTAATGTAATCTTATTTGATTAGTAAATCTCTAAACACACCCAAGTGAAATAAAAATGTGTACTTATGTTTAATATTGATAAATCAGAGAAACTGTGGCTCTTTTTATTAAACTGTGATTTGTAATAAAAGTCTTGTGGAAGTTATATATCATGTAATGAATCATGTTCATCATGAGTTTTAAAAGTGTGTTTGTCTAAGTGAAAATCTATGTCTTAATTAATTTTGTAATTAAAGGAAAGCAAGGTGTTGCGGACAGTTCCCCTATTAGCAGCATGCCTCCCCCAGGACAAGTGTAAAGTCAAGATTGGTCGTCGCTTCAGTGAAGAAAGGTAAATTACCTTTTAGGGAAATTGAGAATAAGTCATAGCTACACAGATCTTTAAAAAGTGGTGTCTTTCACCTTATCCATCAGACCCAGAGCATGGTACATTGGAAGAGGTAAAAAAAAATTAAGTTCTGCCTTCTTCTTCAAAATAATACAGGACAAATCAAAACATGAACAAAAACACCCTCAGAAAACACAGGCCAAAATGTAATAAACAGAGGAATTATCTCAATTCTACAAGAATATATGTTGAGCCTAAAAGGCATATATATGTACTGTTTATTTCATTTTAGAGGATTTGTATTAGATTTAGTTGTGTTTTTTCTTCTTTCTTTTCTTAAATTAACAATTATATATGATATACATTTATGTAAATGAACACATATTTATCCAATTCTAGCCCATTAAGGCTTTCCTAAGGCATGATGACTAGTACTGTATTTAGTATTCTTGTTATAGGCACATCACATTTAAAAAAATTTTTTTAAAAGATTTTATGTATTTATTTGACAGAAAGAGAGAGCACAAGCAGGGGGAGTGGCAGGCATTTCCAGGAGAAATAGACTCCCCGCTGAGCAGGGAGCCCAATATGGGACTTGATCCCAGGACCCTGGGATCATGACCTGAGCTGAAGGCAGACATTTAACCAACTCAGCCACCCAGGCTTCCCAGATCATATCTTTTTTAAAGGATGCCTTCTCTTGTCATGTTTAAAATAACTCTTTGATTGAGGCCCAGTATTTTTAGGGGCAGCAGCCCATTAGTTTGTAAGTTCACTCAAGGTTCTATAATGTTCTTGGATCTTACTTCACATACAATGTTCTTGGATCTTATTATATAACCCATTATCATAAATTTATATTAAATACTATGTATATATTTAAATTTTTCTGCAAATCTTTTATCTTTGAAGCATATTTTTTTTTGCTTTTCTGCCCATTCACAAAGCCTTCACTAATTATTTTGATCCTACCTGCACAGTTAAGTATATTTTTAGATGCAAAATTTAATTTCTTTTGAAAATACAGGAATTTGTTTTTCAGTCCACTTATGAAAATGCTAAGTAAGGCTAGTACTAGCTTCCATCCCAGGGAATTGACCAAAATTTTCTCTTCCCTTATTATTTTGGGTTCCTTTATTATTTAGTTTCAAATTATGAAAATAATATCATGTTAGAACTTTATAAAATCATTTTTTCCCTTCTTGGTAACTATTGTTTAGGAACACTTTTCTCATATAAAATTTTCTTTGCCTTGCCCTCAGAGATGAGATTTGCTCTGGGCTTGGTGTGAATTTTGCCATTTTGTTGGGAATGCACATGAGATCCAGAGCCCTTTGCATGGGGAGCGTGTGTATCATTTACATTGTGACATTTCGTTCACATAAAGTCTCTTTGTAATTTGTAGGTGGATGTAGGTATATCCAAACTTGATCCATCTGCCAGCTTGGATCCAGTTTATTTCATTGCAAAAGTGATGAGTATCTAAACTGTCTGGGTCGTTCCTGACATTTGGCTATCTAACAGCTCCACCAACGTGTTTGTGGATGAGAATCTTCTTTTAAAAAAAATTATTATTATTTTTTTCCTCACCGTAGCAAAACCGTCCCCAATGTTGTGGATGAGAATCTTGATGCGTTTTCAAATAGTTCATCCCATTTTGAATCTATTATATTAAGTAGTTTGTTTTTTTCCTTTGGAGCCTAATATGGTGCTTAGTCAGTAAACTATTATTTACTAATGGATTTTTAAACTAAAGCCAGTTGATATTGTTAATTAATTATTAATCTGGCAATTGAATGGTATTAATTTAAGTTTTTTTTTAAGAGTACATGATGTAACCATTCAGAAATGGTTAAGAGACCTACTGCTTTTGGTATCCTTTGTAAATGGAGTTTAAAAATACTTACCTTCAGGGGCGCCTGGGTGGCTCAGTGGGTTAAAGCCTCTGCCTTCGGCTCAGGTCATGATCCCAGGGTCCTGGGATCGAGCCCCACATCAGGCTCCCTGCTCAGCAGTGAGCCTGCTTCCCCCTCTCACTCTCTGCCTGCCTCTCTGCCTACTTGTGATCTCTGTCAAATAAATAAATAAAATCTTAAAAAAAAATACTTACCTTCAATTTTTTGCCTCTAGTATATAAGAAAACAATTGGGTTTTGTGTACCAACCCTATATCAGGTGACTTTCTAAATTTATTTGCTACTTACTGGAATTGTTTTGTAGCTTCCCTAGAACTTTCTATTGAAGTAGTACTATCACCTGCAAATGATCTTTATGCCTTTTATTTCTTTTTCTTGCTTTATTGCAATAACTGGGAACCTCAGTACAATGTATATTAGGAGTGGTGAAAACCAACATTTCACTTTGATCCCAATCTCAAGGGACATTGTAAAATAAGATCTTGATGTACATTTTTGTAGATGCCATTAATCAGTTTGAAGATGCCATTTATTGTCTTTAATAGACTCTCTAACTTGTTTCCTTCCTTTCAAGATTGTTTTGTTGCTTGCAGACAGAGGCTGTCTGACTCTTTCTTACATCTCCAGTACCAAAATGCTTTGATGTGTATTTTTGAAGGAACTACAATAAGAATAGTTAAACTTCTTTTTTCCCCTCACAAGCTAACAGAGGATTTTCTTTTTAAATTTTTAGAGATCCTGAACTTTCAACTGTTTGTCGGAAGTCTGATACATTAATATTATATCCAGGGGCCGAAGCTGCTAATTTGGAAGAATTTATATTAGAGTCTCCTATTTATCCTTCCACAATCATCATCATCGATGGTACATGGAGCCAGGCTAAGGACATTTTCTATAAGAATTCTTTGTTCCGACTCCCCAAACAGGTAAACTAGTATTTTAACGTAGAATAAACACAAATGTATAATTATGTATGTTGTATATATTTTCTGTGAGGAGCTACACATACGTTTTTTATGTATGGATTTGGTAATATTTATGTGTGTGAATGCATGTACATAGATATGTATATGTGTGTATGTGTGTTTGCTATGTATATGTAGAAAATTTGAAGCCTGTTCATCTTTTTCAATTCCTGCCACCAAACTTTATCTTAATTTAGGCATTTGGTTATAGTAAGAGTATCTCAGACATTTAATCGGTGAAGTCTAAGGATTAATTATTTCTATATCTATTAATGTTTTTGTGAAGTGTTATATTTAAATACTTCTGTATGGTAACTAAATTACCTCTTCTTATTAGGAATGACTTAATTTTTATGAAATACTATTTTGTCATTTATTATTATAATTAGATTATCCTTCAATTTGTTGATGATGGAATGTTTCCCATAGTGAGCCATTCTTGTATTCATTGAATGAACCCCACTTGATCATTTTATATTCTCCTTTTGATATTTTGCTCAAATTTTATCTGAGGCCATTGAATTATAATTTATGTATTTTTTATACTTCTATTATCAGGTTTGAGTACTAAGATAGTCTTAACTTCACCAAATGAATAGTAGAGATTTTAGTATTTCCTATGGCCTGGAATAGTTCAACTAATATTGGAATTCTTGCTTTTTAAAAATTAGAATGAACTCATTGGTGAAACCACCTGTTCCTGGTCTTTTTAAAAATGATAACTTTTAAACCCTTCTTTCAAGCTCTTATGGAAATTATTCAAGCTTTCTCTTTCTGTTTGGTTCAGTTTTTAAATAACTTTTTTTTAATAACTTTTATCTTTTTGGGGTAATTATTCCTTTCCCTTGAGTTAACAAATTGGTTGCCATATACCTGAATATATTCTTAAATACTTAATTTATTCTGAATTATGTCTTTTGTCCTTTCTAATCACTCTCGCACACACTCTTTTCCCTATGAGCATACTCAAAAGATGTTTCTCTTTTATTTAGCTTTTAGAAGTATTAGCCTTTAGATTGTTTTAATGGCTATTGTACTTCATTTTTTCCTTAATCTGTGATTTTTATCTTGATCAGTTTCTTTCACCACTTTCAGCTCGTTTTTCTGTTTTTGTAAGATTTTACGGTGTATTTTCTTCCTTTAGTAAGATTAGTGAGTTCCTTCTTTAATAATAAAAGGAGAGAAGACTGTAATATTTCTTCTTTTTCTGGGTTTGTTAATGGTAAGAAACCCGAATTGGAAATGAGGTCCATCAGACAATGGATGGGTTTGATTGGACCTCCTTAGGGGTCCCAGACTACATTTGACTTATGTGTCCCTTCAGGTTTTTTTTTTTTTTTTAATAGTTAACATATAATGTATTATTTGTTTCGGGGTACAGGTCTGTGATTCATCAGTCTTATACAATGCACAGCACTCCCCATAGCACATACTCTTTACCTGTCCATCATCCAGCCACACCATCCTACCCCCCGCTTTGTAATATTTCTTCTTAATGTTACTTTCATTGTAGCTTATAGTTTTGGGTTGATGTATTCTTATATCTATACCACTGATATGATTTGTAATTAGTTTTGATTTCTTTCTACCCATGGATTATTGATGACTTCTTTTATTTTTTTAAGATTTTATTTATTTATTTTTGAGAGAGAGTGAGCAAGTAAACACGCACAAGCAGTGGGGAGGGGCAGAGGGAGAAGCAGACTCCCCACTGAGCAGGGAGCCCAGATGTGGGACTCAATCCCAGGATCCTGGGATCATGACTTGAGTCGAAGCAACCTATTGAGCAACCCACTTGCCCTATCAATGACTCTTAATTCTCAGGTGTTATAAGATTTTTGTCTCTGTTTTATTTTTATTTCTTATTTTGTTATATTGTGATAAAAGAACACTGCCTGCAATATTTTGAATATGTTTATGATTTTTGTGTGGGTAAGTCAGTGGCAAATTTTTGTATCTGTTTTGTGACTATAAAAAATTCACATTCTCAAATTTTTCCTTGCACTTTTATTTTTGTCATACATGAGGTATTTGATTCTGAAAAAGGTATTTGAAAAGCTTCTGTTCATGTCTTTTAAATGAAGTTGGCTCTGCATTTCTAGTAGCTTTTGTGTTATATATTTATCTGTTCTGTTGTGTGTATAGCAACACATGCACTTGGTGACGAATAACAGTGGAGTCATGATTCTGAGATTCTAATCTCAAACTCTTTGTAGTTTTCATTCCCTTTGATTAAAATGCGGATACGGTTTTTAGATGAGACTCATCTACGCAAAACAGATGTAAAAAACAGCTGATGTGTTGAGTGCTTTGAATGAGCCAGTCATAATTCCAAGTGGTTTATGTGTCTTAACTTGCTTAAGTCTTTCCCAAAGTATTATTACTGTGTTAGGTAACACACGAAGAGGCTGAGACACAGACGTGTTCAGTAGCTTGCTTTAGATCACACAACTATTTCAGAGCAGAGCTGCGTCTTTAACCAATCTAGTTTTGAGCCAACGCTGTTGTCTTAACCAGAGCAGCGTACTGAAAGGGAAGCTTCCATCAAGGACATTTACCGAGAATAGCTTCCGTAGGTTTATCTGGCTTTGTGAATATGCCGTGATCCACAAGAACCAACTCCTAAAAGGCAGGATACTGTTAGGTTGCTCTACATTTTAGACAAAATTTATGTTGACATTACAATTAGATATTGTCCAACATACAAAGAAAGTTTATGGAAGTCTTATGTCTATAGGTTTGGTGCAAATATTTGAATTCTTTTTTCTTGCTTATGCTGTGTCTGCATCTTTCATTTTGTGGTAACTACATGAGTACCATAGCAATGAATTACAAAGTCATATTACAAAGATTAAAAGACACTTTAAAATAAATAATTTACCAAATTCATTTTCTTCTTTAAATTGAGTAGCAGTTAAGGACATAGGTAAATGAAATAATTTTCCCATTCTACTGTACCATATATTTTTTATCACTTTTTCCTTTTCTCGTTTTTCTAAGCTAGAAGCAAATATAAGTAGATATTTGTTGAGCCTGGAAATGGGCCTATTACGACCATCAAATGAAATAAAGTGCTTAAAAGAAACATTAGCTAGATTTGACTGCATGACAGAAAATATCACCATAAGCTAAAGTGAAAGGCAGACTGCTTTCTGGAAATCTGTGAATCAGATAAAGGCTTTGTAAACTTAGAGTTCTTAGAAATGAATAAGGTAAAGGTGAAAAATCTCCAAAAAATGGGCCATTAGAAAATAAATATATTTATAAAATACCTTGGTAATTATATAACAATGTGATACTAAGTTGTCAACTTTTATGTTGAAAGAGCTTCAAACTTTCAGAAAAATTTCAAGAATCATAACAAAGGTCCCTTGAATGCCCTGAAGTTTTACCATTATTCATTAATTGCCTTATCAGTCTCTCTGTGTGTATTTTATGCTTTTCTGAACCTCTTCAGAGTTACGGAATAGGTATCCAAATTTACTTTTTGAAATTGAAATGTTGCTAGCTCTAGCAAGAGCTCTAGCAAAAGTGTCTGTTCCTAAATATTTTTTCCTAAATTTTTTTTTTTTGCCTGAGATAAAAAAAATAGTGATTTAAAGCCCAACACAATTTATAAAAACTCATATATCCTGAGATAGTTTCATCTTAATATCCATGGGAATATGGGTCATTTTAGGAATAATAATATGTATGCTTTTTTAGAGTGTCATACAATACATAGCCCAAATATATGAGTGTGGGTTGGTTAGACAAACCAACCCACTTTCTGGAAGTTGTTGCAAAAACCAGTGAAATCTGTATATTTACTCTTTCTTTTAAAAAAAAAAGTTTTATATGTATACATACACTTACATATTCATAGATAGCTAAGTTGAGGTGAGGAGAGAATTGATTTTTGAATATAACAACGCTTACCTTTAGACATCTATAAAATGATGTTGATAATTGTAGTGATTTTATAGTAAGTTCTGAACTACCTCTTACAGTTCACTTTTTGTTACTTTTGTAACCCTAAAAAGATATGCTTATTTTTAATATATTCTCCCATTATTGAAAAACTTCCCATTCGTATATAATGATTTTTATTTAATTAGTAACTATTCCCCAGCTTTTCTGGAAAGAATTTTTGTTTTATTATGCAATAAACTTTCCTAAGGGCCCGGCTTTAATAAGTAAGTGTACAGTGAAGTTATAAGTAACATGAATTGTGCACGGGTAATTAACGACAGAGCTTCAACTCAAACTTGAACAAAAAAGAAAGTATACAGGTCATGTCACTAGGAAGCTGAGAACCAGTAGGACTGGCTTCTGTCTTGCCTAGGATCTGGTTCTCAAGCAGCTCTCTCTGTTTTTGAGGATTGCTGCCCTCTGCATTGGGTTTGATTTTTTACTTCCTCTGTTCTACTGGAAAAAAAAATCTGTAGGAAGCAGCAGATTAGCCTCTTACTGGCTTAATTTATCTTTTTTTTTTTTTTTAAGATTTTATTTATTTGACAGACAGAGGTCACAAGTAGGCAGAGAGGCAGGCAGAGAGAGAGGAGGAAGCAGGCTCCCTGTTGAGCCAAGAGCCTGACATGGGGCTCCATCCCAGGACCCTGGGATCATAACCCGAGCCAAAGGCAGAGGCTTTAACCCACTAAGCCACCCAGGCGCCTGTGGCTTAATTTATCTTAACAGAAAGATGATTTCTCCTTCCAAGGGCAGAATCCTAGATTGTCCCATTGTTGGGAGTGGGAGGATGGTGGTACAACTAATGACAGCAGGACCACATGAATCTGGAAATTTCTCCAAGGACGTGAGGTGTTGTTATCAGGACTATTTAAAAGCAGGGATGGGCAGACCAAGAACCCATAGATAACCAGACCACTATGTATCAGTTGTTTACTTGTAAAAGCATGTTTGTTTATATATTTCTTGGCTCATTCAAAATTAGTGCCGTAGAGCAGTATTTTAATATA